CGTTTAACCGCGCGCGTTTTTTTCGAATGCGACAGGTATAACGCGTATACGAATAAAGCGGCCACGAGGAGTATTTTTCGAATTCAAATCAGAAAACATGCTTTAAAGCTGCAAGAATGTAAGTTTGTCCATATAAAAGAAAGAATCAGAAAAGGTTACCAAATAACGATATCCTTGACACTGTTACTCTTTTTGACTTAAGCTCAAAAAGTATGATATAATATAATCTTCCTTGTGACCGGAGATTCACTACCGCAACACTCCTGCTTTTGTAAAAGTTGGTATACAATAATAAATACCTGAAGGAAACAACAAAGACAGTGCGAGACTGAAAATGGTAATTGCATACACATCATCCAGGCTAGCAGCAGCAATGACAAGAGACGGTACACCAGCTTGTACGCCATAACCTTCAAAGGTTCAACATAGCATTACCACTATAACAGCTTCAACAGAATACGATTACCTGCTTTAGAGGCGTCCAACAGAGCAGGAATAACGACAGCAGGCGAAACGGCACCTAACACTGCGCTGGAACGAATACGCGCAAAATCAAATCAAATCATGAGAATCAAAATGGCTTTTTCAATGGAATGCCTTTGTCACTAATGCGTCAGTCAAATGCAATATTTCCAGAGGTAGAAACTACGTCTCCATTTCCAGAGATTGATGTGTCACTAAATTCCAGGAAATGGATGCAAGTCGCGAAACTTCTATCCCTAGCACGTTCAACACATTGGACACCGCGTGAATTGTCAGCAATGCACGCGCACACTCCCGTTCCGCGCGTTTGTGTATTGCACACAATTCACGCGCGCGGAGACGCACGAAGTGTAAACGGGAGTCGCTGCAAAAACGCCGCGGCGTTCAGTGTGTTAAAGATTATTCCTGCGATCAAGTATCATGGATAGAGTCGCCAGTAATGAAGCACACTAATACATCGACACGGTCATGGCCATAGCGACAAAAACAAGCCTTTGAAGAACAAACAATGAACTCTACGTACCCGAGTAGCACACCGGATACGATATCCATGCCAAAAACTAGTTTGGCCAGTATAGCCACAACGAACATCTCTACCGTACAAGGAGTCAAGGATAGTCGATACAAGCGCCCTTAACAAAGCAAATGAATAACAAGTTACTGGGATACACAACAGATAAACAAATCACCTTTAACCGCCTAATCGTCGTCTGCATCAAGAGAGAGTCCACCACGAAGTAGAATCACAATAAAAGCAACCTCTTCTCAGTACAACACTCCATTCCTTGACTACAAACAAAGACCCACTGATTCCGGGCGCATTTCTTAAATATGCGACCACCAGCATACCTAAAATAGGGCGACAAATTAATGTGCGTTTCTTGACAAATAAAAACAGGTTTAAAAATAGATCCATGGAAGTATCGATGGTTACGGGGTGACTGTGGAGTTTGTATGTCCTAACCGGAAGACTTCTTCACAGTCGACACAGGAATGAGGGCGTCCACGACAAAAGTTGCGAAAACACTGCCTATGAGGCTTGCTTACCCTAAAGGGATGATCATATAGTTTCCTGGCCGGTGGCGCCTCACTACGCTCCGAAACCGTTGGTGACGACTGACGCGAAGTATGAACGCAGCCGTAGAGGGTTTCGCAAAACGACATAATCAAATGTTCAAGTGATCTCGCAACCGTACCAGTGGTGCTTGTTCTCTGTCCTTCAGCAGACAGTGTTCTCCAGATTCAACCAATACACCTTAACATGTAATGGAGAAAAAGAGTACACAAAACATACCTAAGAGGTTGCAGACGACATTAGTTGTTGAGAGATACCCGACAACAACTCCAAGGGATACAATAAATAGTAATGAATAAATGGAAATGGCGTAGCTATCTGGCGTCGGAACGGTCGGCGGATCAGAAAGTGACTTGTTCTGCACCGAAGTTTCTATTATAGCATTGCTAGAGACGAATGCAAAAACAATAAATACAACGTAAGCACAACAGCTGGAAATCTGAAAAGGAGCTGAAGAAGTGAAAAGAACTGCCATCAGAAGCAGTGCTTCCAAGAATTACCTCAACTGAATAGAGAGCCGGTGATTTTTGCCTTCGTCCTGATTCTGATGACGACTCAGCGGTGAATTCCAGCCGCTCTTCAGTAGAAACCATACTGGTACTACAGGAAGTAAAGGACTAGTACTAAGAATGCTAAGTACAAAACATGGCGAAGCTCAAATGAGGAGAGCGCTCGTCGGTCGCACCCACAATCGTACTTAGAATTCACCAGCTGCTGCGAGCTTGAATTATTTTCCCGCGCGCGCGGCACATTGACTCCCAAACGGGGAGGCGGTCGTTTGCCACGATTACATTGCCGTTTACGTGTTCGACAGGTAATGACATGTGTCTACCAAGTTGGGTAACTCGTCCGAATCACTGAAGCATAAGGTTTTCGTAATTGACGGCCTAGTAAAGCCCTGAGCTCAGCCTTTGATGCCCTTGCCATTTAGTAGGGTTTTCTCCGAACGGTCACTTCGAGAAATGCACTAATTCAAAACTTCGGACGAGTTGCCCGACCTGGAAGGCTGTTTGCCTTGCATGTTTTGGCACGTCAATGCGAAGTGATCGCGCCCAACAACATACACCCCCCCCCTGAACACGATCCCCATCGCATGTGCGTAAGAGGCCGGTGGAGTAATGGTTGGAGGAAAGGGGGTACGCGAACCGATGTAAGGGTTATTCAGAGAAATCGATCCACAGTTAAGACCATCCAAGACTGCTCTTCAAAGAAATCAAATTGGGCACTACACTATTTATCTAGGACTATACAAACTTCCAAAATCGAACCAGTTTCTTTGCAGGAATCTGCAGGTACTGCGGGACTTCGCCAGCACTACCTTGTGGAACCAGCCGTAGAAAGCATCAAGGGACCCTATAAATCATTGTCATTCCACAAAAGCTTCTGTCATCCGCAGGATTCGAACCTGCGCCCTCCGAAGAGGACTGCGACCTGAACGCAGCGTCTTAGTCTGCCATCATACAGAATAGATCCCTTATTAGTTGTTTATAATTTGAAGTTCTGGCAAATACTGCTTGGCTACTTTTCATTTTAATATTGCCGTGATAGAGAAGAGTAGCATTTCTCTTCTGGAAGCCCCAATCAGTAAACAGATTGTGCATTTTTTACTTCAGTTTAAAATAGTGCACCATCGGATCGGTCGTTGTTAAGGCAAGAAATTCATCCATGTCAAGGTGTGGAATGTCAGTGTTTCGTCCATATCTTCTTTAAGTTTTCACAAATAGTGGATTAGGGTTTGCGTATAAACGACAATGTTCTGAGTAACTCGATAACGAAGAAAAAAAAGCAGGAAAAAAACGTGCCAATAGCCCTGGATAGAACCCCATTCCGATCCCAGATTGTACGTGCCCATTCAGCTCCACCTCCAACACTACGCCCTCATCCGCACAGCTGATTCCCCGATAAGAACTCTACGACGATTTTCATGTTTTTTCGTCCTGCAGCTTCGTTTTTCACTGAAAGGCGGGCCTTGAAGGCGGAGTCTGGAGGCGGAGTCACTGGAGAAAAGGAAGGCGTCACTGAACCTACAGAGGGAGGGCAAAAAAGACACTTCGACCGAGTCACATATCAGCAAAGTTTTCGCAGCCCAGACAGAGGACGTGGATACGAGTACCAGGGCGGAAGATACCCAAGATGTTCCTCTACAAGCAGGAGCA